GAGAGAGAGAGAGAGAGAGAGAGAAACACAGACAGACAGAGACAGGGACAGAGAGAAAGAGAGACAGAGATAGAGACAACGAGGCAGACAGAGGGAAAGAAAGATAGAAACATCTACAGAGTAGATATACCCAGTTCTGAGCGGGTATTACCTCCGGTGTTACAAAGTAATCCTGGGTACTCTAAGAGCTCTTCCTATTAGTGCTCGACCTACTGTGTACTCTAATGGAGTGACCTGAGATCGTGGTGACCTTTGTCGCTTCAATGACTGCCCCCACCCCCACCCCCCCATTCCACACACACACCCCTCAACCTCCTGGTTGTAATCACAAAGTGACCATCATCCATGACCCGTTGTGATTGAATTCCTTCTAACTATTCAAAATCAGGAAGCGGGCTTGCTCCAACTCTGTCTAACAGAGTGAACTGTGTGTTGGGGTATATTCCAGAAGAAGGGTAGAGATACTCAGAAAAAGTATTGTAGCATGTCTTTTTGTAAGAAATAAATAAATGAACACTCGTACACAGTACACACACACAAACACACACGCACACACACACGCACACACACATACACACACACACATGTCTGCGTGTGTAATGTTCATAGTTTATTTCACATCTACGACCGTACAGGACGCAAACTCTCAGATTTTCAGTCTGCCAGTCTGTCTTCCTGCCTGTCTCTGCCCATCCATCTGCCAGTCCGTCCATCCGTCAATCTATCTATCTACAGAGAGTGGGTGGTTGGCGGGTGCTGAGGTGTGGTTTGCTCCTTCTTTCCTATAAAACATCTATCTTCCTTAACTCTCCTTCTCCTTTTCTGTGTGTATGTTACTCGCTTGTTGCACATCTATTCTTCGGCATTTATATGACCTTATTGTGTGTTGCAAGTGCCGTAAAACTGTTACTAAAACGAAAACTATCTACTATAGAGAGAAGCTGAACACACTCACCTTCTCGTCGTAGCTGCCGATGGCGAGGAACTGGCTGGAGGGTGACCAGGCCAGAGTCTTGACCCCCAGGGCCAGGTCGTAGGCGCTATACCGCGCCAAACAGCGGCCGTCCAAGGAGTACAGGAGCACTCGGTACTGTGAGCCCGGGGGGGGGGGGAGGGGGGGGGGGGGGGGGTGGCGCACGCAAAAAACGCCTACG